GTCGCGAAAATTTCATGGAATAAGGTAATGAAGAAAAACTCAAAAGTCTCGTTTTAAAGGCCGTCCTTTCTTAGCGCATAAGCTCCTTATGCGTGATTTTCGGGCTTATATCGGACGAAAAAAAGGAAAAAAAACTGGCTTTTGGCCGTTTTGAATAACTGCAAATTTCACTAGGTTAGTTTTCAGAAATCCGTCTAGAGTTATACTATAAAATTAGCTACCCCATGTCTGACGTAAGACTGAGAGTGGGGGATGTGTGATAGGGGTTCCAATGCAAAATTCCAGCAAAACATCACCATTCCTCCCTTCCCCGTTTTCGAAAGTACCCTTACAGGCCAGGCTTCCTCGACCTTCCTCGTCATTTGTCAGTTTTTTCAAAGATAATGAGAATGTGGGTATTAAGACTAAGGAGTCTCTTACCTCCATAACTCGACGTTGCTGTAGGCCATATATAAACGTCACTTCTAATTCAGTGGAAAAATTAGAAGTAACGTTATTCGATGTTTAGCTAAGGTTGTTTTAAAGAGAGTTGAGATTTGTATTCATTAGGGTGCTTGGTGCTTATACAAATGTACTAATACAATGCTTCGCTGGAGTCAAGTCTGATTACACGTTCTGAGTGATGGTTAAGCTCCTGTGTAAATGAATTCAAAGTTCAACTCTTTTTACAACTTTCAGGCGCACCCAACGACGGTTTGCTCCCAAATGCATTGAAAACACTTTTTAGGCAAGCGTAGACCTCTAGAAATGCATTCTAAGCGGCGCTATAAATCTGTATCCGTTCGGTCATCCTAGCCGGGAACTTTATAATCTTATCGAAATTACAAGGGCTTCAGTATTATTTTCCCGAAAATTTTAGATGCAATTTAAAGCATTACGAAAGTGATATATTTTTTTAATTCCTCTCAGCATCACTTTTTTTAATCCCAGAATTTTAGGTTTTCTTTTTCCTACGATAAATAGCCTAACCTGGGGTGGGAAATGTCATACTGAATTAAACTTCAGAAAAGCGTAGGGAATTTAGAAGATAAGCTTCTAAAATTGTACATGAGTAGACCTTTTCCGCTAACTCAATGTTGTACCCAATTCAAATCTCCCGGGGATAAGATTCTTTGTGTATTGTATTTGCATTATAATGTGGCATTCACATTTAAATGATATGGAAATTCCTGAAACAAAACGGTTTATTCCCACAGGTTCATTGGGTACAACATTGAGTTAGCCGAATAGGCCAACTGCCAATGGAACGCTCATCTAGAAACTTTTAGACGTCCTCAAATAACAAAAAATTCTGGGCGATATTTGCTTCTCTGATACAGATATTTTACGGAAAACAGTCGGGTGCCCCTAAACTTTGACACTTCACGTTTTTTTTATTCTTAATAATGGTGTTACATGCATTGAAACGTCGAATAACGGTTCTTTTAATTTTTGTTGTTGTTGTTGTTAGACCATATAAATTCCTAAAACGCGAACGTAGAACTTTGTGACCGCTTAAACATGTTTGAAGCCCGCATGAGTAAATTTCACTGTGAATTTCTTATAAGCACATATTTGATGTTAATATATACGTCATTTCTTGTCTCGCATGGAAAGTGATTCAATAGCCCTTTCCTCTAAATTGGCAAAACATTCACGTACTTACCGTTTCTATAAAGAAAAAGGACTATCATAGAGCTCGCTGTTAATGTTTCAACAAAGAAGCAAACTTTTACGGACAGATAGAATACATTAAATTAAACGATGGCAAGTTAGGCCAAAACGACCAAAATAATCTTTATTAATGATACACCTCCAGCACAATTATTCCTTATCAGTTTATTCGTGGGGAATGTGCCCCGCGACCTTGATGTCAAGAGCTGAACGTGATTTTAAGAACATTTAAGCAAGGGATTTGTGGCCGTTTCGCGCTGATACAGGAATTATCGTAGATGTGTTGGGTAACTCGGCCCCCGATTTGTGTGCCATTGGCACGTATCGTTGTGTTATAAATTAAGACAGCTCGTAACAAGAAGTAAAAGATTTTTATTAACCGAAGTCTTACCGCTGTATAACTTGCTAACTTTTGAGGCAATCGTCAACCAAAGTAAGTTTTCGAATTTTTTATTATGTTTTTTGTTATTTTATAGTTTCTATTATTACCGAATGACAGGATGGGGAAGATTTTAGAAGAAGTCAATACTACTTAAAAATAATGATTATCACTCTGTTACCGCATGCGAAATATGGGTTTGCTTCAGTTCTTTTCCCTTTCATAGTATTAAAAGTGAGATTCCCTAAGAACTTCACTTGCGCTAGCAGTGTACTCTCTCAGACAGTCAGGTGCTGAAAGGGAAGAGAGGAGAGCCCCTCTCTTGGTAGCACAATTTAATTCTAAAATTACATTTCAAACTCCTTCTCAAAATTAAATAACGAAATTAAATAACTTTAAAGAGTCAACCCGATCGATCTTTTCAAGATCTTCAGGATCTTATCATTCCCATTCCCGGGACGACTCCCATATAAAAGTGAAAAGGATGCTCGTCAGAAAATTAGGAACAATATAAGATACCTCCATGAGTGGTTGCCCTCTCTTACCTTGACGTGCACGCAATTTACTGCTCAGGCATGTTAAGGCAAGGGTCACCTCATAATTTGCATAATTTGGCGAAGTGGCATTTGAAATGGATTGTTTTGATCAGTCGTCATGAAACTTGGCAAACAGTTTCAGCTCGATGGCCTTAACAATATGTGACATATTCATTGTTGAAATATTAGTCACGAGACCTACAGATGATCGTTAACAGTCAAAATGTTCAAATTAAAACGGGGGAAAGGAAATGAAGGAGTAGCAAATATTCTTAGGCACCAGTATTTTTCCCATGTCCTGGATGTTATGATTTAGCCCTGCATGTATGCCTAAGTGGAGCAAGGATTACGAAATGAAAAACAGGTCACGTGAATTATAAAAGACTTTAATAACTCTTATTTAAGGCCAATAGAGTGTTTTCACTCACGTGGCCAGCATCTATGCTAATTTATTGGAACAAAAGAAAGCGTTTGCATAAGAAAAAAGTTCAACTCCCAGAGGATTGGTTTGGGACACCAACATGGCCGCCGTTTTATTGTTTTGGGACACCAATATGGCCGCCGTGACGTCATGTGAAAACACTCTATTGCCGATTGTAGACAGTTTGGCCTTTATGCCTCGTGTTAAACCCTCTAGCTACAATCTTAGGAAAGAAACTTGTTTTAAACCTAAGATTAACACTATGCGGTTCAAAAAAACTCTTTTATTAATCGTTTAGTTTTTAAATATGAATTAGCTATGTAATATACTAGATGTATATATACGGGTATATATTTTTTAATTCTTACTTCTTAACTGTTTAAATTTCTTACACTTACTTGTAACAAAAGATATGTATTTTTATCTCTTGATGAATAAAGACTTTATTATTATTATTATTAATTTGATGACAAGTATTTTTAGGCTGAGGTTTAACAACCTTGCCCCGTTTGAGAAAACAGGTTTTGTGACGTCATGATCCAAGGAATGTCACGTGATGCTTGGAATGAATTCTCCAAAACTATTTTAGTGAGATATATCTTATCGCATCTTTGTGGAACCCTTTATTTGGATTCTTCTACGTCATAAAAAAAAGATCTTTGCATTCTCTGTGGGGGTCTTTTTTAGCCTTTCAACCCATGCCTTACTTGCCTGAGTGAATGATCTGAAAATGATGAGCCTTTCAGTGACATCTAATAGCCTCAGAAAACAGCCGAAATGTTTTACTTGATTTTACATTCTTTATCTCAAAATCGATGAATGTAGTTAATTTGCAATTAATCATTAACCCAGAAATGGTAATCGTTTTACTATCCGATATGGTTCCCTTAGATTGGCTTACTGTCTTTTAGAATCACGAAAACTGGTTTTTAGAAGCGCCTTCTTTTAGAGCTGCTCTATAAGACAAAACACCCAGTCTATGGAAAGGCTTTTTTTCCTTTGAATGACGGTCCGCAAGTGTTACAAGAATTTTTTTTTACTCCTTGAGTTCTTCTAAGAGTTTAATCGATTCGATTTTGGGGCTAGCTCAAATTGATTTGACATTTTTTTAGCAGACAAATGATTAATCATATTCAGTTCGTGTCCTCCTTCACACAAAGAGAGAGTCCAATGATAGCTTATTTGTCCAGTGATAGTTATTATTTAACTCGCTAAAATTTAAAAGCTAATACAGCGTCACTAGCAAACACGTTTTAGAATATTTTCAGCCTCAATATTGAGGTTAGATATTGTGGTGACCCTGTTACGTCTGTGGTTTTTCCTTTTCGTTTATATAAATACTGTATTGTGTACCATGGTGTTTCTAATCAAAGTAACTCCACATTTTTAATTTTCAGTAGACAAATCTTTTATCATGTTCAGTACGTGACTACCAAAACAGGCATTCACAGAACAGGCGTTCCACTTACGTGACAACTTATCCAATATAACGCGAGACATTTTTACTTATAAGCAGCTGTTAGGATGTTTTCAGTCTCAGATCGACATCAGACTCTATTTATTCAGTGGTTTTTCTCTTTCCTCTATTGTGTAGTACACTGTTTCCGTGTAGAATGAGTGAAAGAGGCTCTGTACATTGCTTCCTTAAAAGGACTTTTTAGTATTAATACAGATTAATTAAATTTAAGTAAGATTGATTCATTAGATTTAGCATTGAGGCGTCGAACGTGCATTTTAAACTTCGTATTTATTCACCTAAGTAAACAAAGCATACGTTCCTAAAGCGTAAATTTAAGAAATAATTATACTTTTTAATACTCTTGCCCGTGTATTATTGATTTTCATTTGTTACAGCTTCACGCGAGGAACAAATTCCAGGCTAGTAAAAAATTTTCTTTCTGATGTCGTTTCGTAAAAAAATGGTATTGCAATAACAAAATGCTACTTTCAGTATACCGACCTACATTATAACCACCTGAATTGTACTTTGTTCTTTAAGATCTCAGACAACATGGATTTTTCAGTGAGGTGCATAGTAATTGCGCTTGGAATTTTGACGGTTTCTGTGGAGGGATTTTATGGAGGTAAGTTACTAGCCCTAACACACCTAAAGATTCATTGATAAACTAATCTCGAACGATTCCTGAAACTCTCGGATAACCTCGATCGAACCTCACAATAGCTCAAACTCTGGCTGAGTCTCCTATTTAATTTATACTTTGAAACTCTCCCCTCCCAATAATTCGAACCAATTCAAGTCCATTTTCCTGGGTGCTCGAGTAAAACTGCTGAACTTCATTTTGCTTTTTCCATTCCTACCAGCTTCCGACGATTTTAGGATTGTTGAGCCATTTCCTGCTAACATCTATCCTGTTGAGTTCACTTCTGCCCAGGTTACCTGTGTAGCCTTTGATTCAGCTGGAATAAAAACTCCTGAAAGGATACAGTTCATGAGGAAGGACAACTTTGCGCGTTATATAAATATAACTGCTAATGACAACATATATTTCACACACCGAACCGAGGAAGTGGACAAGGGTAAGCCGAAGTCTTATAAAAATAAAACCTAAAAGTGTTTCTTTATAGTATTGGAGCTAAAGATCCTATTTTATATTTGATATTACGCTGCTATTACACGATGAGAAAGCGCGCTTTACATCAGTGATCTGAATTAGCCTTCGTTCTAACGTCACCGTCTTCTGCGAACCAAAGAGCGGCACGTTGTCTGAGCAATCATTAGGTTTTACCCAGCATTCCTTGCCCATGAGGGCAACACATATCATTGGCTATTTCCGCGTTCCATAAACTCTCACGTCCAAAACGAGGCTAAGAAACAAACCTTGTGAAAAAAAATAAAATGAGTTTTATTTGCATGAGAATGAAAAATCATTTTCATATCAATGGCTTTGCACTTCGTCTCGCTTAACAGAGGCTTCGAGCAACTCAGAAATGGCGTATTGCTATTACACTGTTAGAAATCTGTCAAGTTTCTTGTATACCTTATTCTGAAAAAGGACAATGACAAACATGCAAGGAAGCTATCTATTGGACGGTGTGAAATTAATTATGTAACCTGCTAACTTTCCTAACATTTCTACAGTGTCTTCTACAGATGGAAAGAAGTTAAAGAAGCTCTTTGTCACGATGCACATACGGAATGTAACGCTAGAACACGATAGTACGTTTGGTCCATTGGGAAGGTTCGAATGTCACGCTTTTGCGGTTGGATCAGCCTTGGAGCGCAGGCATGGTTTCAGTGTGAACGTCATAGGAAGTAAGTTTAACTGGCTTAAATCTGTAAAAATTCGAGTAACGCAAAACCTCGCGAAACAAAAGAAATAAGGGGAAAAAAGCCAAGAAAAATCAAATATGAAAAAACAAAACTGCTCAGCTGTGAATCAGTGTCGAACACTGCACCAATTCAGCAGACACACAAAATGAAAGGAAAAATATTTTAAAAGGAAAGCATTTTCCGTAGACATGCTGCCGGTAAACACCGTTTTAAAGCTAGTCGAGCCGTTCTAGATATAAATTCATAGATATATTTGAGGAAAATAAGCAGGTTTTTCACCTTTGGGGCATTTCTCATTGTATTTTACTTACTTACTTACTTACTTATGTTTCATTTTAGGAAGCGAAATTCCTGTTGTATCTGTGACTAAAGTCAACATGCTGCAACACGGTGACAGTATCACCATCTTTTGCAACATCACTGAGGCCTCGGAGTGGTCTAGGCTGAAAAAGATTTCATGGTTAAAAAATGGTGTTGTACAGCATAGTTTGAGAAACCCGAACCCAGACAAACCTGTAGACACACTGGCGCCACTAGTTATAAAAAATGCCGCGGCCAGAGATGGAGGAAATTACAGTTGTGAGCTTGAGCTTCGGCTTCGCAATATTAAACCATACAATGTATCAGACAGTACTATGATCACAAGTGAGTATACAATGAGTCTTAGGCAGTTTTCACTATAACACTATTTTGCCATAGTTGAAATGGTACGATTGCAGATGAAATTCTTGTTTTCTTTGTTGAGACAGAGTGCGTTATATATTTCACGCATGAACTAACCTGCAAAAGATCTGACCAATCTGAGATGTGATTGGCTGTACGTCTGCAATACCAACAAGGCTTATAAAGTACAACAACAGTAACAACAACAACATTAACAATAAAACCACGGATTAGAATTTGAAATGTAGCCAATAAATCTTTGAATTGGTCCTAAACATTATCAAGTACAATTATTATTTGCTTTGTAAACAATACTCTAAAGAAAGATGGGGATCAGGTGGCAACGTTAAGAAATGTTTTCCCGATGGTTGACAAAACGGTTTAAATTTTCATTTGTAAGTTCTAAGTGTTCATGGTCTTACATGATATTCTTACCTTTATTTCAGTTGCTCCATGGTTTGATAGACCACAAGAGGATAGTGAATTGAACAAATTCAAGGAAGAAAGTGTTTCTTTTCAGTGTCCTGCCAAAGGTTTCCCATTAAACGTTGAATGGAAGTTTCAGAAGAGTGGTGAAGACAATATACGCTCTTGCATAAGTAAGTGTTGGGCCAGCTGTTTATATCATCGCTAAAACGTCTTTTGGACTCTCCACCGGCTTACAAGATAGTGTTGTTTGTCATTATCTGGGCAAGTATACAAGAGCAAGGATAGGATGTGATGATTTGTAATGTCAGCTAGTATCGAGGCTGGCGTAATGAAAATTTGTACTGTATTCCCCCTGGTGTACTTGATGAAGGCGTTAGCTTTGTCCAGGAAGGGTTTATTCGTTTAAATAAGTTTTTAGACAGTCTTGAAAGCAAATGTAAACCTCGTTTAAAAATTCTCGGCAGGTGGCTCAGATGCAAAATACCGCATACATCGCGATGGGATTTACGCGCCATATGTATTGACAGTGAACGACTTGCAGTATTCTGACAGTGGATCTTACTATTGCTGCCTCCCCTCTAACTGCTCCAATGATGTCAAAAACAACTGCCAGCGATTTGTTCTTGGAGTAAGAGGTAAAAAGTAGTTTATTGTTCCTTCTATTTGTAGAAGATGGAATGGAGAGAGAGAACTCAATCTTGGGTCGGTTAGCGACCAAGTTATCGCCCCGGGGAGGGGGGGATACCATAGGATGGGGACGGGGATATCGTCATCTCTCTTTTTGATCTCACCTACGGTGGTCATAAAGGAAATCTCGTATTCTCTTTAGGAGTTAAGCTTAAGTAAGGCCTAAGCCACAAGTCCAGATTAGCCTTCCATTAGGAATTAATTCAGGAGCCCATGAGCTCCTGGTCTAATTCTAATTTCCCGATACAGGACTATTTTACAAGGGGGTCCTCCTCCTGGACATCGCTGAAATATTTGCTCATAATTAAATTAATGTTTGTTTCTTAATCTACTCATTTATTTCTCTTAGATGACAAGTTCCGTTGCAAACTGGACCTTGGTTTGTTGGTAGACATGACTGAATCTATTTCATCACCTGTGAAGGTACAATAGATGTTGTTCTACCTTTCCGGCTTGCTGTTTTCAAATCATGATCACATAGCATATTTTTTTAGCGAACTGTACCTCAATAGGTGAATTTAAATTTTTTTTCCTCATTGGCCGTATATCCGTTTCATTCCCTACTGAAGCTATTAAAATAAACTCTCTGAATATCAAAGGAGAGTAACAATTTCAGTTATGTGAAAATTTGAGCCCGGTGACCGAGTAGTTTCGGAGAAATTATCTTTAAAGAAAATCGAAACTTTATAAAGAATGTATGGCTCATTGGCGTTTTTGCCAACAAGCAATTTCGCGAAAAATTGCTCAAATTAACCAACTCTTTCAACTTTGGAGTTTAATTTGTGTTTATTATTCATTCAAAATATTTCCCCAATTCTGATTGGCTAACGGCACACGCATAATTCACAATAACCAGTTACTGATGACCAAATTTGGAAGAATTTTGTATTTAACGTAAAATGACGTCGAAAATGCAGCCCGCTACAGGTCAAGGCATCGTTACCGAGAAGACCTGGGGACGAGGTTGAGTTGTTTTGGTTGTGAAAACAAAAATGGCGGGCACTTCACTCGTTTCAAGAGTAAGAACTGCTCCTGGATCTAGGTGAAATAATAGCTAAAACATAGCAAAAACTGCAAGAAGACAACTCGGAGAGCGACATCTGCTATTTGGAGAATATTTGCGGAGCTGGACAAACCTAAACGTACACTAACGAAGATGAACTTAACATCGATGCAGGTAAGCATGTTTTTGCTATGTTTTTAAACAAGGAATTACTTTGAATGAATAATAAAGCAATTAATGAATTCGGTTCTCGTAGGATATGAATAATTAAGCAGATCGAGGAGGGTGTTATCCAGCGAGGCCTTCGGCCTTCGTATGCTAATGAGCAAAATTGTAAACAATGACGTCAGCAAAGATGCGACCATAGTGACGTTCCTACTCAGCGATCGTTACGATCGTATCTGGGAAATCCGTGATATGGAAAGTGCCGGCTTCCTCAAAAAGAAGAAGTTCACGATTCTTTTTCGTTAAGATGAACATATTTTATCGCTAAGGAAAATGTTGAACATTTATGGGATCTAATGGAACAAACCATCAAATAGTAGTGTTTAAATTTCCCAGCGTACAGAATACCTTTTCGTCGTTGTTTTTTAGATCAAATACTTATATTTTTTCCGGCAGACGTAGGAAAAACGGGAATTTATCTTCAGCTCCCCTTTGAGTTTCAAATTCCACGTTTTTAAAAAACTTTTCACGCGTTATAGTGCAATCCGTAAGTTATTATTTAATAAGTACATTATTCGACTGCATGTAAAATGTTCTGTCCTTTAGAATGTTTTTTCTTTTAAGATAAATATTTTTGCATTTTAGGGAAAAGGTACACAGTTGGTAGTAACCGCATCGGGTCCAAAGTCGAAACATCAGAGGGGATTAAGGGACGTCGTTAATGACCACGCCTACCATGTGTCAAATTATACAGAACTAAATGACTTGTTTGATGACTTAACGAAAGTCATCTGCCAGCGTAAGTGATAATAAATAATTTGTCAATTTAACCGAGGGCGGGCTAAAGTACCATACTAAGAAAAATGGCTATACGTAGAAGTGTCCTTTTCACAACTATTCTCTTTACTATTAATTTGTCGTCTAATAAGTTAGTCCCCATTATTCTCCCCTTCACTCTCTAATGTTATCATGGTTTGTTTCCTGAGGTCTGCTACTGCAATGGTATAACAATACGTGAGAAAAGGAACTACAGTCAAACCCCTTAATACGGACATGACTGAGGGGGCCTTAAAAAATGTCCGTATTAACTGGGTGTCTGTAAGGGCCTTCTTTCACCAGGGACAAAGCAAACGGTCCTAAATAATGAGGTGTCCGTATTAGTAAAGCGGGGTTTGACTGTATTTCATTGGGCCAAGTGTCCACATTTGGGAGGTGTCCCTGCAGTGGGACTAAGAGAACAGTCTGTAATGGAAACGTGCCCTTAATATATTATTTAGAGAAAAAGGCGAAATATGAACCAGCTACAAGAGAGCTAACAGAGGTATTGCCGGTAAATATTTGTCGAGATAATTAAACTTAGAATTTAAAAAACTTGCTTGAAATAGATTAAATTGAAATCGGTAGACATGATAAAATCTCAAAACGACTGTGAAGTCAGAAACGTTACTCTGTACTTAAGGTGGATTTAGGGGTGGGTCTAGGGGGCTCCCGCCGGCGCCCCCCCCCCCCTTTTGTCCGGAAATTTCCTCTTTGTAAACGTGTGTTGGATGGTACTTCGAGCTTTGTTACTTAAATATATTTTCTTTAATTAACATTGTTAATAAGAAAAGAATCTGTGTTCGAAGCCTACATTTTTAGCTGCAAATGACCAAAGCTCCCAGAATGCATGCAGTAAATATCCGTCTCAAACAAACTGGATTTGACAATTTTTCAGGGAGATTATGTCGCTGCCTTGCCGGGAGGATGTGCTCTCGCCGCAATCGCTTTGGCTTCTGCTAGCATCATAAAGTCTTGTACTTCTTTTATCACAACCACGCCTGTCGTTTATTAAATATTTCAGCATTAACATGCTCCATATGGAATCCAGGCATTTGCTAAATTTAAGCCTCCAGAATACACTAGATTGCATCAAGAGAGAACCAAGAGAGAAAGATTGTTCTCTCTTGATTGCATCGAAGAGAACTTCAATCTCAAAACATTTTCCCGGAGGAGCTTTCGCCCGAAACTCCCTAGAAGTGTGCGCCGTTCGCAGTCCTGACGGGTGCTATCACGTCTATATTGCCAATGTATACTATATCTCTAGGCTCCCTCTATCACAAAATCCTTCGTTCGCCCCTGTGTACGGTCGTCCAGGTTTAATAGGATCATGATTCTTAGTGACACACTTTTGATCACGATCTTTTTTCACAGCTGTTGATGGCGGCTTCTCCAAATGGACCCCGTTCTCCGCCTGCAGTGTGACTTGTGGTGGCAGTGGCGTCAAAGTACGAACAAGAACCTGTACTAATCCCCCTCGCCAGTGGAAGGGAAAGGACTGTGTTGGAGCACGACAGGAGTCCATGGCTTGCAATGAAGGACCATGCAAGTGATACATCAATCCATGATCGCTAAACAAAGGTGGGAAAACAATCATATGGAAAGCAGCGTGTAGTCAGCGCGCCAGACTCGTGGAAACCCGGTGAAGGGGATATTCGTGAAAAATTCGGGTGGGGACGCGAGGTGTGCTTCCTGGAATCGTCAACTTACTTGACAAAAATAAAAAATAAAAAAATGTGACTTCCCCCACCCTACTATTTCAGACCAAAAAATACCCTAAATTCCAGCCCCTGCTTCCAAAAGACAAATACTTATCCTATTTCACACCCAAGAAGATAAGATCCATATCCAATTTGGAACCGAAAGAGGACCACCCATCATACCTATCGGGCCGCATAATTGTTATATAACTTAATTTTACAGCTTATTTAATTATTATTATAAAATTTCAAGTTATCTAGACTTAATTAGAAATTCAACCAATAGGAAAGACTTAGTGAATATTCGTATAAGGAACCACAAACTCATGATAGAAACTGGAAGATATAATCAAAATTCCCTGCAACGATAGATTCTGCCCTATTTGTAACTCTGGTATAATTGAAGACGAATTTCATTTTCTCTTCCATTGTCCAAAATATTCAATCCCAAGGGAGAAATTCTACAATCAAATCCAACAAAATTTTTACGACTTTAATCAGCTATCTTACACAGAATTAATAATTAAATTTATGAATTCACAGAATTTTTCCGTAAATTCACATTTGTTGAGATTGGTCTCATTATATAATGATTTTACGCGCTAATTTGTTATCAAATCATGCTGATAACACTTGATTGACTGTAGTAATCATTGCATTACATTATCATTGTTATAAATTGTAACTTTATGTTAAAGCTTTTGCAATATCTGTAACTACATAATTATAGTCATGCAAATAAAGCTTATGTTGTTGTTGTTGTTACAAGAAGAAGCCCTTACGTAGGCTAGGAGTTGCTCCTCGTCACCGATCCGAGTTGTACACCTCGGCCAGGCTTTATCACCTTCTCCAAGTGGGGATATTTAACCTTGTTGTGCTAAATTTAAAATAACAGATATAAATAGAGACCGACATCATCTTTGTTATCATCAATTTTCCTAACGGCTATATATTTAATGAATTTGATGATAACGATTTATGATGATGATATTGATCATGGCATGAGTGATTATATTAATCTCGGTTCATTAGTTCTTAGAAAATTATACAGCGGTTGAATGACTAAGTAGTTTGACTGAATAATACAGCTGAGCGTAATCTAATGTTGTTTTTTTTTGCAGAACATGATCTTGCCTGTACAGATCAGCGAAGCTCTATGATAACTGTAGTTAGGTCCTACATATAAGAAGTCGCAAAGACATTTATACTATAGGTTTTATCAAGGGTTTTATGACGTCATTAATTGGTACACTGCTTGTTAAAAATGAAAATAAA